TAGGTGTTGTTTTGCGCCTTATTTATGAATTTTAATCAGCGGTAATTCCTCAAGATTGATGCCTAATATCGATGACCACGACAAAGAGTAAGTACGATGAAGGAAAAACTAAAATTATCTGTGTTTTAACATTTTCAACGAGATAATGCTGTTCTAGGGCAGGCATTTGTAAATTCACCCCCCATTCTGCATTTTATCCTCAGTCTGCATTTTGTACCCAGTCCGGTCTGCAGTCCGCACTCTGCAGTCTGCAGATTATACTGACCGGATCGTTAATTTGAGCATTAATGTATAACCCGCCTTTCGTGATCTTGTTGATTGACATACATAGCAACGAACACAAAGTATGAAATATTTCCAATAAGAGACTTTAATGTAACGGAATGTACGTGGCTATTCATGCAAAAAAATGTTTGTTCATTTTAGTGGTAAAGCTGTGCTGATTGGGAGAACAACAACAATGTACCTGAAATATTATAACTTGTACATAATTATTGCGCGCATAGTTTTGGTAATCGCACAAGGCCAAGCAAGTGAAAGTTTGGATTTTTGTTTCAATTCAACTCTTGAAGGTACGTAACCTGATTACAATTCTATCTCTCTATCTATCTATCTATCTTCCAATACAGCAAACCCCTCAGTATGAGGATTATTAGCTCGGGTTAGCAGAAAATACATGTTGCTAACCCAACGAAATAGTTAATAATAATAAACTATTTAAAGTTAAGATAATGGAAAGTTAAATAATAGAAAAAAACTATAAAAAACTGAAACAACAAAAAAGACCTTCTATAGGAGAAGGCCTTCGACACTGCACCTAACCTACATATGCGGCCTACTTATATCGATTTGGTTATGTTCTCCAGGTTTTAGATTTAATACAACAGTTTTGATGACAAAAGGCGTTTCCCAATGGATGGAATGCATCATGGAATGTGTCAAGGAGCCATGTTGTAGGTCAATCAACTACAAGAAGACCTTTCAGAATGAACCAAATTGTGAAATGCTACATGACGTGATCTACAATACATCCGAGAAAGTATTGGAGAGAAACTCTTCCTATGATTATGTTTATCTGCTTGACCCACAAAAGGTATGAATTGATTAGATATTCAGACAGTACATCATATTTAAAAAAAATACAGCAGTTCAAAATGTAAACAAACCGTTTGTTTACATACGGACTTTACTTCCACTTTACGATTTTCTTGATTGGTTCTGTGACACCTTGAATATATGGAACTATTGCATAACCCTTAACAGATGTATCACCCTCGGAGTTATTTTGGTTCCTACAAACAAGTGATCTCAGGCAATCATTAAGAAAATGTTTTGGGTAATCATTGGAACATATTCACGTTCATTAGCTTGAGAATCACTGTTTAAAGGGCAAGGATGTTATGTGCAACAAAGTGGCATCCTGTCTCAGTCTTTTTGTCGCAACCTTGATGACAAGATCAACTGGGATATTTGTAAAGAAGGAAACGACATCAAATGATACCAACACTTGATCTGCTTTAAGAGTTTTAAATTACCTCTTGCAAATTCTGCGAAATGACAGGAATTTTTGACAATGTTTTCGGTATTTCTCACCACAGGGGACAAAATTTTCGCCAAAAAAATTGAAACTAGGAGAATTTACAAAGGACACAATAGGTCTCAATGGAATTTCCGGTTTATGGATTTTCGGTAAACCACAGAAACGCGGAGATAGTCCATCATTGGTGTATAACTTTTCACTGCTATATACTTTTCAATGGCAGGTGACGTCATCCCTTGGGTATTTAAGAAGCCACGATTGCAACTTTAGATCACCCATGATGATGACACTAGACTGGAGTGTCGAAACGTTGGGTCTTGATTACAATCCGACTGGGCTTTGTAATAAGTTATTTAAACGAGATTAGCGAGCGAAACATGACCTTTTATCTTGTTACAGATGACACGTTTACAAAACCATTGGGTTAGAATAGATAACCTGACAGACCTTTACAATTATGATACCTCAATCACCGAAACAAGGCTGTATAGCCAAAACTGAGTACTTTTCGCAATTGTGCATTCTTTCAGTGACGTTATTTTGTACATGACCACATGGGCAAATCACCTACTTGAAAAAGTCCTGAAATTAATTCAAATATGTATACATATTGTGCAAAATAGAATCACTCAAACATGTCTGTGTCACTTTTGTCAGTTTGATAGATAGTCACTCAGTGGCTTTTTTCCAAACTCAAATGGTTTTAATGATCAGGTAATTAACATAACTAGTTATGATAAATGTTTGTATGTACACCCATATTTACATATTACGCCTTACCCCTCTACACGTTACAGACAATAGTACTTTACTGTTACTTTGTTCTTCAAGGATTTTTTAAGGATACTTTGTACTTTTTACTTAAGTACGTTTTGCTTCCAGTACTTTTTACTCTTACTCAAGTCGTTTTATTGTTAATTACTTCTACTTTTACTCGTGTACAAATTCAAAGTAACTTAATTAGGCACCACTGCGCAGCAGGACGTCGTAAGGCACGAAATTTGCCATAAATTTCATCTTTAGCGGTCTCGAATTGTCCATATGTTAAGGAAATATCTTTTCGGCAAAAAATTTTGCAAAATATTTAAAAACTTCTCTCTCGTCGTATATCTATAATAATTTTGCGAAATCTGGCCCCCTTGGCTTCGCTTTCATGTTCGCGGGCGCCATTTTGGAATAAGGTGTATAAATATCGTTCTTGAAACATCTTTCAAATTTTATGATCCCCTAGCCAACGGCGCAAAATTGAGGGAACTTATTCCACACAACTATTTAATGCACTCGGAGAAAAGAAACCATTAACGAAGTCTGAAGTTCATTAATAATCGCGGGCTCATGGCTATACATAGGTTGTCATCTCACTGATCTTTAAAATATGGCTGTTTGCCTGAAATGAAAGAACGACAGATTTAAAACGCATGTAAGAATAATCGTTTCACAGAATAAATTGTAAAACAATTTTTCACTTCTATAAAGAATGTTTGAAAATGTGAGGTGTTGTTTCTAGTACAGTAATCTTATCGCCTAAATCTCCTTTAGTTACCAAAATTAAGTATTGGACAAGATTTCCATAGTGTTACAGTCTTAATCGAAGCATATTGAATACATTTTAAAAGTATGCCGAAAACTTTGCCATCATTATCCTGATAAAGAGATGTAATAACGTTATATTAATTCCGCTCTAGTATTTACACACGGGAAAAGGAAAGGTTAGCGAAGACTAAAGTTTATCGATAATCACGGGCGCGCGGCCTTGTCATGAGCGGACCACCTACTGATTTCAAATGTATGGCGAATATCAGAAGTGAAAAGAGGGGAATTGATTTGCAGGGAAAATGTGAAAAACAATATTCAATAAATCGTTCAATCGGACGAGCAGACAATTAACTAAAAGTGACATTTTTGTTGGGGATGTATTTCAATTTTAAAAATATCAAGAATAAAATGATCTTGCTACCATGACAACGTACTACATCAACTACTTCGTGTTTGAAAAATATAGTGGTTTGCTACTAAGGCGAGGTGTATCCTGCGTGTCCTCACGCAGTCTAAGCCAACTTGTTTCTGTATGCTTCCATTTCTGGTTTCTGAGTATAATGCCACTCGTGAGTGTGAGCATTGTTTGTGAAATTTAAGGTGGTGATACTCACTCCGGACCTATACCCAACATCGCAAGCTAGGGTTTTTATCACGCTTGAGGCGAGGAAAAACCCTGGTTACCGCTTGTCACGTGACTCTTCATTTTCCCCAAAAATCGGGGGTGGGGGAGAAATTAAAATAATACTCTGAGGGAGGGGTGGCAGAGGAGCGCACTGAGATTTATTGAAATTTTTCTTAACAATATTGTGATTTTGGTTGGGACTATTAAAACGTGAAATAAATCAATTAAAAACAACAAGAAAACATTGAAATTGATTACATTCTGGTTTGGAACAGATAATTTATTAAGATAAGGTATTAAATTACAGTTTCGAGCATGGAATTAAGCTCAAATTTCGAAAGTCTATTCATTCAATTGAGTCGATGGCTTAGCAAGGAGACGCCAAAGAAATTCTACATAAAAAGAATCGACGGCCAATATTTCGCGTTATTGCCATATGTAGGCTTTGTAATGTTGTTGCTGACCCAAAACACAGCAATAATCCCTATCGGCTCTATCGAAGGCAGTCCGAAACAATCCTTCGCAACGCAGAGAAAATTTTTGTTCGTGAATTGCGGCAAGGAAGCCAGGGGCGGATCCATGGGGTATCGAGTGTAGCTCAAGATACGGTCAGATTTTTTCGATTATGGACAATAAAATAGTTTTGGGGAAAAATTTACCATTACAGTCAAACCTGTTATTCTCTTGCATGAAAGCAACATTGCAATATTGTCCCACAATATTGCAATCTTTATAGGCAGATTGCTCTAAGCAATTTGCAACAGACGCGAACAAATTGCAAGTTACAATTCACAAAAGACTTGTAAACAAAGTCTCTGACTGGACTATTGGCAAAAAGGAAGCCAAACAAATATTCTCATGAGCAAATGGATTGATGCTTCCCTCTTTCTTGTAGTCCAATCAGAGGTTTCGTTTACAAATCTTTTGTGAATTTCAACTTGCAATTTGTTCACTTCGGTTGCAAATTGCTCAGATCAATCTCCCTATCAAAATTGCAATATTCTGGGACAATATTGCAATGTTCCTTGCAAGTTTACTAAGACGAACGAGTGCAAATTCTTTCGTAAATTTTAAAATTTACAGCTCTAAATGTAACATTGAATTATTTTCGACGAAGACAAGCCTAGAGCTTTCCGAAGGCATAACCTGAGGTGCCGTAACCCGATCGGAAAAATGTTTTTAAATGCGCCTGCGGTGTTCCGCGGTACGCGGTTCGAACATTACTAAAAATAGTAACTTAATGAGGTATTTGGCCAATCACAGGACGTGTATCTATGACATATGATTAATGTTAGTCTTGTTTGAATTGTCATCCAAAACACTATTTATAAAGCTAGTGTTATTTCAAGGACGTACGTCTTCTGAAATTATGTAAGGCCGTCGCTCACTCAGTTACGTTAGAAGAATGCGGCTGTTAGCAATATGACACGAAATTTCCGAGCGGTTCACGATTATTTCATTTCTTGCGCAATCAAAATACAGCCACAGTATGTGAGGGAGGGATAAAAAAAAGAAAAAGGTAAAAAAAGGATATTTCCGCAAAGGATATGTTCGAAAGATTATGTCCGAAGGGGCCGAAGTTATGTTCGGCGAAAGGTATGGCTAGTTTACATTGTTCGAGAACATTGAGTAATATAGTGAAATATATGATATTGCTTGACCTTTCAAAGTTCAAAGTCGCTATAAAGTTGACATTTGACTAAAACTATCTTTAGGAATTTGAAGATATTCTTTCAATGACTAAGGATGAAATGACTTCCGATAAAGTTTTTGTGTCGAAACTATTTTTTGCACGATTTATCTGGCATAATTTGTTCATACTTGACGATACAAGAAGCGAGACATGTTTGTCGTAATTTAGGTGTCTATCTAATGTGACACCTAACTCTTTAGTAGAGTCCACTGGTTTAAGAGACTGGCCCAAGAATGAAAGTGATGTGTCTGTAGGTCATGGCCAGAAATGCTGGACATGCGCCTGCCTTGTACAGCGGCTACTTGAGGGGGTACTTGGTTTAACTAATTTAAATTAACTCTAATTTAAGAAAAGCGAAGCCAGCCAGACAGAAATATTGCTCAAATTATTCAAATGATATTGTTTTAAAATGGTATTTTTACACGTAGTTATATAGTTCGCATATTCACTAAGACATTTATTCAAGCAATGGCTCTCATTCGTGCGTAAATTACAGCTAAGATATGATAAAAATCTTATGTTTCTTAGTATTTATATTGCGCAAAATAGCATTGTAATATGATCTAATGCGCTTAGTAAGTAGGGAGATCGAGATACTTTGCCGTATATTTTGTCAAATACAGCGCATTCTCTCCTCTGGATACATAAATTTCCCTCCTGTCCTTCCGTATTAAAAAGCCTGGTTCCTGAACTTCTTGTTGATACCAAAATGGCGCAATATATTCAAAAGAAAACATGGCTCGGACGCGTTTTTTAATCAGACGTAGATATAAACCTATATTCGCGTAGGCATATATTGCGTCGTGTCTATAAGTTAATTTTCGTGGGTTTCAACGATCAACGTTTATGGGAACCCATAGTAATCATCATTGCTCATAAAAAGCCCAGATTCTGTACTTCGTTTTGATATCAAATATGGCCGCCTATATGAAAAGGATAGATGTTGTTTAAACTTTTTACATGTTTATGGCGCGTCTTTGCTCACATGAAAATTATCGTTTGTGGATAATTCACTTGTCAATTTTTACTGCATTTCTCGGCAAAAACGGACGGTCTAAAATATATCAGATCACTTCGAAAATAACAGACGGAATATTTCATGATGTGAAGTTTACGAGGGAAGTGAGGCAAGTTTGACAAGAAATGAAACGGGTCGTAAAATTTTGTACGAAACTGGCAATTTTCGCGGAAATTGGGCGCATTGTATACATTTCATAGGAGCCAGATTTGTGCGATACCGCAGTGGCGTGCTGGGTACTATTTTTCTGGAGGGGCCAGTGGGCTGTCAACCAATATGCGCCCCTATAATGTTACACTTCATAAACGAGGGCCGAAGGCACGAGCCGAGTGCCGCAGGTGCGAGGTTTGTCTAGGGGGTCCGGGGGCATGACCCCCAGGAAAATTTTTGAATTTAGAGTCTCTGAAATGCCATTTCCTGGACTTTGGGGGAAGATTTGACAGAAATCTGATGGTCAGGAAACGGCATTATAACGTGTCGAAATTTGCAATTCGGTTAGAATTTAGTAGCAGTACTTAAATTATGCAATGCTAACTAATTCCAGCGATTAATCTAATCCCAATTCTGTTCTCTACTGATCTACTGTTCTGAGTACATTTACAACTTAAAGCTCTTTTATACAATAACACAAGCAACCCACGCATATGCATTTTAAGGTTTCCTTGCCTGGCTGCCAAAAGGGCATGTTTCAGCATTATTTCATTGCTTACTCATTACTCATGCTTCTTGTGCAAACAACTAAATTGCGTACACAACTAAACATCAGTTATCATAACTTCAACTATCTAATTTGCGCCGCTCTCGTGATTCGTGAAGCATAATAAAGGGCATAATATAAGGGCATAATACCAGCAAAAAAGGGCATAATTCCTGTGATCGCATCGATCGAAACCTGACCAATATTCCGGTAATGAGACATTGCCTGTGATCACTGATCATGTTTCTATATGAACGATTTCGTGTGAGCTGTGAGGTAGCAAATACGGTTATAGGCAAAATAGTCTGTGATTTAATATATGTCGCCTATATGCGCTTAGTCTGTTTTATACTGTAGCCTATAAACATGTCTTTTCTTGGCGGAAGTAACCATATTTTTTCGAGAATGCGTTTTTTCCCATCCACTTTCAAAATTCGGCGCCCCATTTTCATTTTTGCGCCCCCCAAGAATTGCCAGCTGAGGGGGCGTGGCCCCCCGGCCCCCCTGCCAGCACGCCACTGGCGATACGGGTAAAGAAATGGACGTACTAGGAGATAATAATATGACATGATATTTATCTTATTTGACTACAAATGTTTTGTTATTTTCAAAAATAGTGAGGCAAATTTTGTAACAGCAATTGAACTGGCTTATATTTACAAAAAATGGCGCTCCCCTATACTATTCTATAGTAGCGTTTCGGCCATTTGGTTTTTTAAAGTTCGCACATGCTCAGTGCAAATGTCTTGAATTTCTGGCCATGAGTTTGCTCATCAGCTGCCTTGTTCCGATCATCATGTATTTTGTTTTCCCGGGTTAATTAAAATGTGGTTTTCACAGCACCAACTTGCAACTCTGTGTAGGTCTTGCTCAAGATTTGTAATTTCTGCATCTATCTGACGTAATGGGAAGGAGAGGGGAACTTTCGAGTCATCAACGTACGATTCAAGGTTGGAGTCACGAGATACGGAGGGAAGATCGTTCAAGTAAATACAAAATAATAATGGTGAAAGCGTCGCACCTTGGGGTACTCCGTGCATGAGTAATTGGTAGTAGATCAGATAGGGTGGAGTTGATTCGGGTGGACAGAAAGCGATCCGACAAGTAGTCTTTAAACCACTGTACTGTTGCTGGGGAAGCACCGACATTCACTAGTTTGTGTAACAATCTGTGATGGTTAATACTGTTGACGGCTTTCGAGATATCTAATAATACTAATTCCTTTTTGCCCATTGCCTCTAGCATCGTGTCGGTACCAAAAATGTTCAGGGTCTCTGTGGAATGGTGTTTTTTATTTCCGCTTTGATGAGGGGAGAGCAGGTTTTTGCTTATTCGGTGGCTACTGAATTGTTCAAGAACAATTTTTTCACAAACCTTAGAAGCTATGGCAAGAAGAGATATCGGGCGGTTGTTTGACGCTACTTCGTAGTCTCCGTCTTTCACTATAGGAATCACTTCCGCTTCCTTCCATGCAGTATGGAATGTATGAAAGGTTATAGAGCAGTTAATTATGTATGTTAGGGATCCTAGTATAACAAGGAGACAGTCTTTGAGGATTCGAGAGTTTATATTGTCTGGTCCAGGGGATTCGTCGTTCAATGGCAGGGATGCAATGACACGGCGTACTTCTTCGCTGGTTACTGTTCGGAAAGAAAAGAGATCTTGGAAAAGCATATAAAAGTCTCTAAAGGTGTTTCCTCTACAGTAATGTTATTTTCTTCTGCCAGACGAATTGGCACATCTGCTGTATTTTTGCCTACAGACGAGAAAAACTAATTGAATTCATCAGCGACTGTCTTTGGGTCTTTGGTGTAAGTATTTGTTTTCAACTTTTTGACGGTATGGCTTGATTGGTAATTTTCCAAAGAGAGCCTGCATGGGTTGTTTTTATGTCGCTGAACTTCATCCAAATAGTAATTTCTTTCAGAATCTTTTAACATTCTCTTAACAGCTTTTAGAGCATCTTTAAAGTTATTCCAATCAAGGTTGTCCCGAGTTTGTAAGTATCGGCTGTTTAGCTGGTCTCTGGTCTTCGTGAGGTCCTTTATGTCCTGAGGCTGAGTTACAAACGGACAAGGACGGCTACGTACTTTTACTGTCTTTATTCGAGCATGCGAGTCTAGAGTAGATTGGATGGTTTGGTTGAATGTGTCTAACATAGTATTCACGTCACCGTGATTGAAAATAGATAATAAGCTGTCGTGTGAACTTCTGGCGAGGTTAGTTATGAATAAACTTTGGCGAATAGTTCTTGTAACTACGAACGGTTATGTAATGGGGAGGATGTTTACGAGATTTCAGCTTGAAATCGACATAGACTGGAAGGTGGTCACCTATTGTTGTATTTAAAACACCGCTACGACGTACTAGCGAGTTCGAGGAGACCAATACAACGTCTAATAAGGATTCAGTGGTATTGGTGATTCGTGTAGGAGACTTAGTTTATAAGTTGGCTAAGGTTCATTTCTTTAGCAAAGTTGCATGATCAATGCTTTGGATTCTGGACAATTCTGTTTTAACACATCACAGTTTAAATCTCCGAGTATTACAATAGGCAATTACCCTGTATTCAACGTTAGTGCTTGGATGTAACTTGGCTTGAGAACATTATCAAACGAGCTTAGTGGGGAATCATCCGGACGGTACGTTACACAAATTACGACTGATTTGGTCTTTTTACACTGTACACTAATCCACAACTGGTGAAAGTTGCGTTCCGATATGTAAGATAGATCTTTCAAGACTACAGTTTTGAAATCTTTGCGAATATACGTGCAGTCTCCTCCTTCGCGCTTGTGTAGACGATCAAGTCTAATAAGTTTATACCCGTCCATGTTTACCTCGGGTGATGTCACGCACGTGTTAAGCCACTTTCGGAAATGGTAGTGATGTCAAATTTCGCTGAACGCCCTAGTTTTCGAAGTTGGACAAGGTGGACAATATTCCGAAGTGAGCGTATGTTCAGATGGATAACCTTTGTAAGGCCGGTGTTGAGTGATATACTGTCCGTTTAAATCGGGCGATCCGTGCAATTTAAATTGTGCTTCTCAGGCTTTTTTGGTGTGATTAAAATCAGATTACTTAAGTTCCTCGTATTGGGTTGGACAACTTGGATAGGAACAAACTCTCTGCGTCTTGTTATTTGTAATGACGTGATGTCTGTAAAACAGCTCGAGGGATAATTATACGAGGGTGTGTTAATTGTGGGACATCAAGCGCCTTAAAGCTTTTACACTTATTTTAGCATCCAACTATGCCGCACTAGAGACAAAACGACCTATCAATATATAAATAGAAACTTTAAAATGCTTATAAAATCTCATGAATTATTAAAATTAAATGTCATGTCTGTGCGAGACTTTGTGGGTATGCAGAGTTTATGAATTATGTTTATATCCCTGATAAAATGTAGAAACACGTTATACCATGCACGTCACGCATAATAAAAAATACTTTGCTAACCTTATCTGTTATTATTCAGATAGCATGATATAAAAGGCGGGGTAAATAATATTTTGCCTTCAAATGTTCGACAACATACTCATGCAGACAAAAAAGGAAAAGCAATTTGTTAATACTAAAAATGCTATAATCAGAGGCATAACTAGAGCGTTAATTGGGGGTGGAGGGGGGGTGTATATTCATATATTCGTGTTCTGCCCGACGAATTTCTTTTGAATTTGTTTGTTTTTAAGTTCATTTCAAAAGAAATTAGTCAGGCAGAACATGAATATATGAATATACACCCCCCCCCCCAATTAACGCTCCAGTTACGCCACTGGCTATAATATTGTCTACACGAATCTCTGCCACAAAATAAAAAACCATATGCATATTGTTACATGAATAGACCAATGATTGTAACCTTTTTCTGTTTGCCTAAAAACTGTTTGGTGTTGGACATTTGACAAATGTTTTTTTTCATGGGATTGCCTCTATTTGTGATCACAGATTATTTGACAGTCCCTCCCCTTAACCCCCCCCCCCCAAAGCCGCAAAAACTAGGGGGTAAGGGGGCATCACGACTTAGAATACAAATTCAACCAAGTAGAAATCACAACTTTATTACCATCGAAATCTACGCACCTTTTAAAATCTCCAGATCTTCCACTGTGCATGGTCCTGTGTTACGCTGTGGTTTCCTTACCCACTTACCACACTTTTGTCTCCTGTACTGTTTAGTAAATCATCTAGCGAATACAATGCGGCTGAAATATGTTTGCACCCGCCGTCTCTGCCATCTTTACATTTGCAAAATGCTTCTATAATGCTCCCTTTGTTTGGCCCTTTGCCTTCCAGTATAAACCATACGTCCGCATAGTTGGCAGAACTTTTCCGACATATACATGCAAACAAGAGTCTAACAAAGTTGCTTTCTCCAATGATTTAACATACCCATCTTCGAAAAGTCTGTAATCTTCGTACGATTTATATGCCGCAAGTCCTTGCTTATCGTATTCCGTAGCGTGGTATATCAAATGATTGAAGATGTCATTAAGACTAATACAAACCCCACCATTGGAAAGTCCTTAGTCCCGTCCTTCCTCTTGTCAAATGTATGCCATATAACAAATAAGGTAGGCGAATTAGCTGCTGTTGTATCGATCTATGACCCATCCGTGGTAATGATAACTGAATCTTGGCTAAGTGATGATATCGGTGATTCCTCGGTTAAGATCGGTAATAAATACAACATATTTCGTCGCGATAGAAAGTCTCCTGGCGGTGGAGTGATCGCCTACGTGAATAATTGTTTACCAGCAGAGCGTATGACTCACCTCGAAGAAGAAAACAAAGAAGTGATATGGTTGTTGTTAAAACCCCCCAGAACCCCTAGACCTTACAGTACAATCGTTGCTGCTGTTGTGTACTACCCTCCTGGTCAATCCGCCGAACAAGCAATCGATATGAATGAATACTTAACTACTTGTATAGATAGTCTCTTGCGCGAACGTCCTTCATCTGGAGTTGTTATAGCTGGGGACTTCAATCAACTAAAATTAAGAGAACTATGTAACAGATTTAATTTAAAAAGATCCGTAACTAAACCGACTAGAGGACACAACATTCTTGATCAAATCCTTACAAATATGCTCCCTCTCTTTGACACTGTTAGCCATCTCCCCCCAATTGGACGCTCCGACCACCAATGTCTTCTAATCAAGCCCATTAAAAGACAGAAAACTGCGGTTATGTCAAAAAAATTAGATTGATGAAACGAGCAAATTTAAATGACCTCTCCCTGAATATGGCTTCTGAAGATTGGACTGCTGTATATTCAGCACTGGATGTGGATGAGAAAGTATCAGCTTATAACTCCAATATAATCAAGATGCTTGACGAGTTCTTACCCGAAAAAACCATCAGAGTACATCACTCTGATAAACCGTGGATCACTGGTAATATTAAAATGCAAATCAAAGCTCGTCAGAAAGCCTTTTCTCGTGGTGATCAGCCAAGATACAAACAACTCAGCGAGAAAGTGGCAAATCTTATAGCTAAAGCTAAAGCCACCTACTATCGGTCCAAGGCCTCAGAATTTCGTACCTCGAATCAATCGAAGTGGTATAACTGTATCTACTCTTTAGTAAATGCCGAAAACACAACCCACACCCAATTTGCACACGGGCCCGAAAACCTAGACTTATCCGACTTAGCTGAAAAACTTCAGAAAGCCTTCACTAAACCATGGTCGGACCGTTACACGAATGTCGCCTTTGAAATACCTGAAGTGAACCACCCACATAAGAATAACAAACCACCCCTTCCTTCTATTGGTCAAGTTAAAGCGGTCTTAAAACATCTTAATCCAAGAAAAGCAACTGGCATCGATAAGGTTCCTGCATGGATGCTCAAACAATACCACGAAGACCTAGCTCCTGTGGTTTATGACATTGTGTGCTGTAGTATAAGTCAATGTTGTTATCCATCACTCTATAAACATGCCCTAATTTTCCCTGTTCCTAAGGTGCAACCGCCGAGAGACATTAACAATGATTTCCGCCAGATATCAGTCTTACCCCATCTTGCCAAGATCCTGGAAAAGATCCAGCTCCAGTTAAATATTGAAGACCTGAAAATTAAGAATAACCAGCACGCGTTTACTCAACATCGAAGCACAGTCTCTGCGTTAATATCAATTACCCAAACCTGGTTTAATGCCACTGATTGTTCAAAAACAGGCAAAATGGGGGTTCATGCGGCCTTCATTGACTTTCGTAAGGCCTTCGACCTTGTGGATCACAATATTCTTTTGAACAAATTAGCAGCTATGAACATAAATAAACCCTTCTGTTTATGGATTAAAAGTTTCCTTTCCGGAAGAGTTCAACAAGTAAATCTCAATGGTACCTTATCATCCATTGCAACATGCCCGGCCGGAGTCCCGCAAGGCTCTGTAATATCTCCCATTCTTTTTAATACCTACATTGATGATTTGGAGGACGCCTTACCAGAACAACTAAAAGTCAGTACGAATAAGTATGCAGATGACTGCACACAACACCAAATAGTGAGCGTAGATTCTAATAGTAATTTACAACAATCTATCAATGAAGTAAATAACTGGGCGGTGTTAAATAAAATGGCAATTAATGCTAAAAAAACTAAGGACATGTGGATCTCGTTCACGGACGCTAATAGAAAGGGTCAACGCTTTTAAATTACTTGGCGTGTCGTTCCAAAATAACCTAAAATGGAACGCACATGTTGAAGAGATTACACGTAAAGCAAATAAATGCCTTTACCATCTTAGAGAATGCAGGAAATCGCAGTTACCAGCTGAAGTCGGTATTATTACCTATCAATCCAAAATAAGACCAATTCTCGAGTATGCATCACCTGTCTGGGCGGGACTCCCTAATTACCTGCGAGATGAAATAGAGCGGGTCCAATCCAGGAGCTTAAGAATCCTTGGCCTGGAAAAAGATTACCTACCACCGTTGAACGAAAGAAGGGAAGAGGCAACTAGTCGAGAAGTTGATAGGGTTATGAACGATCCACACCATCCCTGTCGCAGTGTTTTGCCAAAATTAATTAACAATCAGTACAATTTAAGGAACATTGACCGGAATCGCAATATATCATTCTTCTCAGGAACTGAAAGGCATAAACATTCATTTTCAGGTAGAGCTTGTAAATATGTATAAATAGTTTTAACTTATTAGAAGAACTTATTAGATTAAATAATTTATTAGTTTTAACTTTTTAGTTAGTTTTCTAAATTATCTTACAACAATTTGTAATATAAAGACATATCCGCAGCATATATACTTTCTTAAACAAGTAATTGTAAGTCCATTGTACTTTTTTATCTTAAGATGGATGAATAAAGCTATTATTATTAT